GCTGCAGCCAGGACCAGAACAAATATATGGGGCCCTGGCAGGTCTGACAGAGGTAGGGGCACCCATTGCGTACTGTCCTTTCACATCCCCCCACTTCCTTGAGCTCACAATCTATGTTGTTTCCTTCTCCCAAGACTTTCACAATCTGGATTGCAAAATCTGAGGATTTTCCTTCCCTTATCAATCTCAAGTTTCACTGAGGCCCTAGAAATTCTTAGACCCTTCTAAGAAGCGGGATACAGGAAAGAAGGATTGTGTTTAGTCACCTTTGCAGCAGAGAAAGCACCTTCCTTGCCTTCTCTGCTTCACTCTGGCAAGCTCTCCAACCTGGGAAACCAGGAAAGTGATGAAGACAGAAGCAAAGAGATCTTTTAGGAGGCAGAGTAGAATGTCCTTTATGGTACCCTTGGTAGATTGGACTTGGAGAGCTCCAACAATTAGGATTCAAGATCGCACGGCTAATGATAATAATAAAGCTCACGTATGTATGTTGCTTTATCATTCACAAAGGGCTTTCATTCATATATGTATGTCATCCCATGTGAGGCTCAAAAACACCATGTGAGGAACATAGGTCACTGGTTACTTCAAGGAAGAATCTGACCATCCAGGAAGTCAAAGTACTTTCACAAGGTCAGGAGACAGAAGTTCTGACTCTTGACATCTCATATGGCCACTTATTGGGAAACGCCCATTGCCCAGGTCCATCACTGCTTCATGCCCAGATGTGGGCAGAGCAGGAATCTGAGAAATGTTTCAGGTTCTGACTGCTTTCTGATGAGCCTCTCCTCTGAGGGCTCTGTTTTCTGAGAGGGACTGTATCTAGTGACTGACATCCTCAGAGACCATGGACCTGGGACCTCATGGAAAGGAGAGGAAGGGTCACCCTTGGAGAGCTCAGGTGGGATAGGTAGAACCTTACCACTTGGTGTTCCACCTTTTCTTCTCCTCTTGGCTCTGCCCTGACACTGAGAACAAAAAGAAAAGAATGAAGGGCTGGGACTCATTGGTCTCACTTCTCTGTTTAGGAAAGTCAGATATTTGTTATCCAAGAATAAGATGACTCTCTATTTTAATTCCTATAATTTTGCGTTCCTTCCTTTTATTAATTTTTAAAGGTGATAAAATACTTTCAGTCTTTCCTTCTTTGAAAACCTCAAAGGAGGATTTTTGGCTAGAGTCCACACTTGATGTTCTCAGTCAGAAGTCCTCTGCTCAAGGAGGGCATAGACTCTGAGGCCCACAGTCACATCTGTGCTTCCTCAGATGGGACCCTGTATCCTGGGACAGAGCTCTTGCTCCAGCGTCTGCTCAGAGACTCAGCTCTGTTCTCCTGATCTGCCCAACGTGAAGGAAGTCTTGGCAAGTGGCACCTGACATGGCAAGATGACTCATGATCAAGTGCTGGGAACGGTGTTCTCCTACACAGATCTGAAACGCTAAATAACTGAATCAAGGACTACAGAATCACTGTTTGGGATTTTATTTGGGAACCTATCAGCACACCCAGATAGTCTGTGAGCTTTAAATGGAATCCTTAGTCCTCCCTGAAGCCCTAGTTCTGCCTGTTCTCTTCCCCTAAGAGAGCAATGGTCTGTCCTCTCCTCAGACTTCCCATTTTAGGTGTCTCTCTGGCCCAGCCAAACTCATTTAAAAATGTGAGAAAGGGAACAGGAAAATAAAGAATTATCCTTTGAGGAGTGACTTTTGGTTCCAGCTCCAACACTTAAAGATCTTGGGAGTCTTTACTACGGTCCTTAGGAGAAGCAAAAGCTGAGCAAACTGAAAATCAATGGCTTTTCTTGAAGTCACCAGAGAATTGAGGTTGCAGGGCAAACTGCTACCCAACATCTTCAGAGAGGGTGAATGCAGAGAATCACAGTTAAGATCAGCTTACCTGGAGCAGAAGCCGCTAGAGCCATAAACTGGTAGAAACACGTAAAAGATACTGACAAACTGCTGAGGATGCATGTGGGCTAGCATGAAAGTGAGAAACTCCTGGAGGACCATT